ACTTCCCAAGATGTTGGGTTAGCATCACAGATGTGTTGTTTTACTCTTGTACTGTTGTCCAACCTGCTACATTCGTGTGTGTATGTGTGTATGTGTGTATGTGTGTGTGTATAATTTTTTTTTAAAGATTTATTGGGACTAGCAGATGGCTAATTGGTTGCATTGCTGTACTCCCACATGGTTAACTATGGTTTGAGTGCCGGACCAAGTGGCTTTAAAATCATGCCAGGTACGTGTGTATGCGCGCCCAAGATCCTGGGAAGATAATGGTGGAGAAGGGATTGTGGTACAGCCATCCTCCCTGGGGGATGATTTCTCACTTTCTGTCTCTCTCTCCCTGGCAAGTACATGTGCCCTAGGGCACAAACCTCTAAAAAAAAAAATACTATTTATTTAATTTTATTTATTATCATTATTCTTCAATTTGACCAAAGAGAAAGAGAGAGAAGGCAAGCTGCCAAGTCTTGTGGGGAATAGAATGGAGTGGGATAGAAATGAGGTCTATACATTGACTGGAAAATAGTTTTCTCCAATGGAGAAAACCCTAGAAGTTTCTGGCCACTTCTCCTAGACTTGGAGAGGTTTTTTTTTTTTTTTTTTTTTTTTAAACACTAAACCCTCTTCCTTTAAAATTCTGCTTCTGTCTGGATGAAATAAACATAATTACCCTCTAAAAGCCTAGAATTTAGTCTTGAGGCAAGGTACTACATAGGCAGTAGAACAAGATAATCTGAACATTCATGGTCTGTGTATTCTCTTATTTCAGAAAAGTTTCTTTTAGAAACAATCCCTACCAGTTATTTTTTCCCCCTCACAAAATATATTTTATTGAAGGTATTACTTTTGATTTTTTTAGAGAGGAACAAGAAAGAAACAAATGACTTTAAGAAAAAAAAAAAAAAAGGCAGAAGGAGCTCCCATAATGAGATGCTCACTTTTTTTCCTCCCCAATCTATCAATTCTGGGGTTCACAGTTGGACTCGATTCGGTTTGGTAAAATAAGTAGGACTTTTCATACATTATCATGATGGTATAGATTCATACCCAAATGTAAGTAATTTCTTTTAAGATATCAATTTAAGTTCTTCATAATATTCTTACGTGGAATTGTTTATTTAATTAGTTAGCTATTTTGAGATAATTTGGTTATCTACAAGTTTTTTTCCTAATATAAACAACATTTAAATGAATATCCTTTTAGCTAAAATTCTTGCATAGATTTTTAATTATTTCCTTGGGATAAATTCCTAAAGGTGTAATTACTGGCTCAAAGAATAGGTCTTCAGAAATTCATCTTGTCAACCTGAAAAGGTAAATGGAGGCTAAGTATGTAAAGCAAAAGTTTATTTGTGCATAAATTTGAGTATTGTACCTGGCATTCAGCTTTGATGAACATATTCAGGTTGCTCCAAACATGCTTACCGAGGTCTTACAATCCTCCAGCAGGTCTTAAAGACTAAAAACAAAATACCAAAAAACCAAAATCCAAAACAAAAACAAAGAACACAAGTTACAGCAGATTAGAACAGTTGTTTTGGGGCAATTATCCTTGGCTACCAGGATCAATAATAAGGGTGGTGTCAGTCCAAGGTTGGACAGGCAGTCTCTGGGTAGATGTTCCATAAAAGTAATCCCAGATTATGCTGGTCTTTGTGCTAGACTGTGGTTCCAGCAGAGTCCTTCTTACAGTTCTTGTTATAAGGCATGCTAGTGTGAGAAAATGCACCTTCCATGGCTTTTCCTTGGCAGGTTTTGACAGGGTTGACACAAATGACTTTGACAACTTTCACAATCTTTTGTTTTTGGTTTATTTTTTCGAGAGATTTTTGCTATAGTGTTTGTGCGCTTGCCAGAAAGACAGAGAGAACAGAGAGACAGAAAGTGAGAAATCAACCCCTGGGGGATGGCTTTGCCACAATCCCTTCTCCTCCATTCTCCTCTGGAGATTTTGAGCACGCATGCACACATGTCCTGCATGAGTTTTAAGCCACCGGGACTGGAATTTGAACTGCAGTTGACTATGTGGGAGTCCAACGATGTAACCATTATGCAATCCACTGGTCCTATCCAATCTTTTATTTTAAAATTTATTTGGACGATTCTAAAATATATTTCTTAAGGTACAGTCTCTCACATGAGCTATATATAGCCTTGTGCATTCCCAGAAAACACTGTCCCATGAATATTTTACCCTTAGTCAAAACATTTATAAATATGTTTGTCATCTCCTTTACCTTCTCCAAAAGGGTTCTTTTTCTTAGATTTTATATCATGCTACAATATTAGGTTTCCAGTTTTTTGTTTTTTGTTTTTTAATTTTCTTGAGCGGTTTTTTGCTGTAGGGCATGTGTGCTCCCCAGAAAGACAGAGAGACAGAGAAACAGAAAGTGAGAAATCACCCCCCAGGGGGGATGGCCATGCCACAATCTCTTCTCCATTACCCTCTTGGGATCTTGGGCACACATGCACACATGTACAGCGTGAGTTAAAGCCACTGGGTCTTGAACCGATACTCAAACTGGGACTTGAACCATGGTCCACTACATGGGAGTCCAGTGACATAGCTATTATGCCAACTGCTGGTTCCCAGGTTTCCAGGTTTAAATACTGTAAAAGCTTTTATTTTCCCCTTTATCATCAATTATGTAGGAAATGCAGATATATCTGATATTTTTGTAATACTAATGTTTATAGCTTTCTATTACCCTTCCCTCTCAATTTTTTCAAAGGCATTTATAATCTAACATGCCAAATACTATTCTTACTTGTTTATTATCTGCTCCTTCTCATTAGAATGTAAGTTTCGTGAAGGCGGAGATTTTTGTCTGTTGTTTACTGCCATATTCCCAGTATGTAGCATGGTCTCCATATTGTAAGATAAACTAATTTCTTAGGCACTAGTCTTGCATTTACATGCACAGTAACATTTAATTTTTACCACAACAGAAGGTGTTTTTTAAATTCCCATTTTGATAATGAAACAGTCTAAATTTAAAGAAAGGTTAAATTACTTGCCCAGGTACCAGCAATTGACATAATGGGTATGTTACTGGACTCCCATGTTGCTGACTGCAGTTCGAGTCCTGGACCGGGTGGCTTAAACTCATGCCAGGTGTGTGTGCGAGTGTGCCCAAGATCCTGAAAGAATGGAGGAGAAGGGATTGTGGCGTGGCTATCCCCCTGGGGAGTGATTTCTCGTTTTATGTCTGTCTCTTTCTGGTGAGCAAATGCGCCCTATAGCAAAAACAAAAACCTCTTTAAAAAAAAACTACTTGCCCAAAGTCACACAACTGGATGGTCACAGAGTAACTGGTACAGCTAGAATCTAACTTGCCCCCAAATTTGAAACTCACCTGTATGCCTTTAATATAATACCCAAATTTCTTAATCTAAGATTTAAGACAAAACCTCTCAGCCTACTTCTTTAATTCAGAACTGCCAGTTTCACTCAAATTGGCCTATTCACCGTTCCTTGAAGCTTGTTTCCTCTAGATATTTTTCAAATGCCCCTATAGAAATCTTAAGTTCTGTGCAACTTCCACCTCTTTCTCAAATCATTTCTGAATGCTTCAGAAGATAGTGAGGAATTCCTCATAAATTCTTCAGTATTTCCCACATGGTTTTGGAGGTTCTTGGTTATCGACTCTGATTAATGATATTCCACGCTCCCCTATATAAAGATTGTTCCGCATACAAAGATTCAATAAAGGGAAGCCAGCATTATTTTCCTGTATTTCCCACCAGAGAAGAGAGGGCACTTACGGCTGTTAGCAGGGATGCATGATCTTTAAATAATCATCTTTTAACTCCCTTGGTCTTATACAAAACACTTTTAAAACGCTGACATTTTAGTTAAATGGAAACAATGCATGCATGAAGTAAAATATACATGTAAAAAAATCCACTGGGATAAAGTGAAATGTGTTGGTGTGTGCGAAGGGGAACAAACTGAGAGGGGCCTTGTGGGAGGTCTCGTATGATGGCTCTTGACGCCCGTTGTCTTCACACTGCATCGGGCTGGCTTTTGTGCAGGGCCACGTGCCAAAGTTTAACCGCGTGTCTGGCACACTGTAAACGGCTAAAAACCGCCTTCCTGGGCCACGCCTCTACCCTCCATCTTTGTGTGGACAAGAGGAGGGGCGCAGAGGCCAGCTGTAGTAGCCTGGCAGAGCCCCGGCGAATACATACAGGCCCCCAACTCCAACAGTCAAGTTTTCAAAATTCCCGCGCGTGGCGCCCTAGGCCGTATCCATTGGGAGCGGCCCCAAACGAGGTCCCCGCCCGCCCGGGTTGAGCCTGCGGGGTGTGCGGGGGAGGTGTGGAGGAGGCAAGCAAGCTCCATACACTGGGCGCTCCAGGGCCAGTGCGCCCATCCAGCCCTGCCGAAAACGGAAGTAGGTGCGAAGGGATCGCGATGATTGGCCGAACACACTTGTCTCTCAAGGGGCTGGCGCGAACGCCGCTGTGGAGTTGGGCGAGGGAATATGGAAAAGGGAGGCTAGTCACTGGGAGCTGCCCCAGGGCTGGGAGGAAAAGAAACGCTGGCATGCGCAAATAACAGGGAGGGTCCTTGTCAAGGGGAATTGGGACGCTCAGGCACGACAGCTGGGCGACAGAAGCAGCGCCGGGAGCAGCATAGGCCGAAATCTTGAATAAGATCGCGGAGGGCGGGGAGTCAGCGATCCAGAGCAGCGCTGCGGCGTGGTAGGCGGGACTAACGACAGCGAGGCGGGGATTGGCGGGCTGTCCGAAGCTGCGGTACGTCGGTGGTGACGCACGCCTCGGGGAGGGTGCGCGCGCGTTCAGCGGCCTCTTTGTGTGGTGCACAGATAGGGGAGCGGAGGTGGCGGTAGCGGTA